CATACTCTAGACCCTGTAGTGGAAGACAGCAGAGCCCCATATTCTTTTTGAAATTCATGTCCATACTCATAGACTAGAGATCTCACCCCAAGATTCTCCTTGAGGATCAACAGACAGACCCTCCTTCCCTCAGTGACTGCATGTTCATCCTACTAACCCAGCAGCACTGCCCCATCTCATCAAACTCCATGGCAAAGGCAAACAGTGATCCTGCTCACATCCACCCATAGAAATTCCACCAGTAAATCCCAGTTTTTCTCATTTTTAAAAGTTTCTGGGTTTACACTGAACACACTTGTAGATGTGGGAAGCTACATTTAGAAAAGTTGAGCTGTAATCCCCTTTTCCTGTAATATCCATTTCTGGGGAGTCACCAGGGTTCTCCTGCTTCAGTTCTTTCCATCTATTCTCTGGTAGACTGTGTACAAAACTGTCACTAGAAAATTGTACATTTTTCTAAATTTGGGAAGATATTTAAGGCTGCCAGGTGACAGAAGAATCAAAAAGTATAAACTAAGGAATAAAGCAAAAGTATATAATACATTTATATCTCTTTAGATAAACTAGAATGATGGAAATTTTAAAGAAAAAGATGAGGAGAAAGCTTCAGTAAAAGTTAACCAGCCCATTTGAAGAAACAGCCTTCAGAGAATCAGTAGGAACCTACCTCCAGAACAACAATTCCCATTTTAAAACACTCCAACAATTCACAAAAGAAAAAAAAAAGAAAAAAACAACACTAAAGTACAGCTCTTCTCACTTCAACTTCTCAGCTCAAAGTGGCACTTGGCACAGAATGCAGAATGTGTATCATCACATTTCCATAGAGACGATACATCACAGAACTTTCAGAGTGAACTGGACTCTGCACAGGATGAGTCCAAAGGCTGCCATATAGAAAGTGTGTTTCTATGGACAAATTTAGCTTTTCAGAGTAAACATTTTATGCCAAAACTGAATCCCAGGCTTAAAGATTCTTCCCTGATTCAGAAAATAATTTATATGAGAGAAAATGGCCTGTCCCCCAAATATAGATATTTGTGAACATCTCAGGGTGAAGAGGGACAAGGCTAACATGTTGAGAATAAAATGAATTATATCCATATATATATATATATATATACACACACACACATATATATATATAAACATATATATACATATATCATCTCCAATCATTTCTAAGTCACCAGAAATTTCTAGATCAAGTAATTTAAAATATGTTCCAGTTGATATGAAAAGCAACATTATGAAAATTCAATTGTAAAATGTCATATTCTCTAACCATATGCTTATCAAATTACTTAAACCCTTCTCTCATTCTCTACACATAACACTTCCTTTCCTCTGTATGCACCTAAATGTACAGACTTACTTACCTCTCCATCTCTGCCAATTCATTTAACAGTTAATCTGTTATTGTATGTTAATCCTGGCTATTCACTGAACAAATAACATAAAGCAAATCACTATGTTTTCACCTGTAGGTTGGGTGAAAGTGTAGTTACTGTTTTTCTAAATGAAGAACTTTAGACAACCCAAAACTTCAGGACTAAATGTGTGTTCTGGGTCATAATTTAAAACCTAATCACACCCAGTGTTCTTGATGATCATGAACACTGGTTATAAGATGGTAAGTGACCAGCCCCCTAAACATAGAAGTGAAAACTTTAGGAGAAAGATGAAAAGTTGCCCTATTAAAACAAAGTAGGTGCCCTTACAAGATATGGAATGCTGCACTGTGTGTGTGTGCGCGCCTGTGTGTTCAATCGTGTCTGACTCTTTGTGACCCCATGGATTACAGTCTGCCAGGTTCCTCTCTCCATGGAATTTTCAAGGCAAGAATACTGGAGTAGGTTGCCATTTCCTTTCCAGGGGATCTTCCCAACCCAGGGATGGAACTCTTGTCTACTTGTCTCCTGCGTTGGCAGGTGGATTCTTTACCACTGAGCCATCTGGAAAGCCCGGGTTTAGTACAAATCCTTGTCACTGATGAAAAAACAAGACAGTGTGAAAGTGTTAGCCACCCAGTCATGTCCAAATCTTTGCATCTCAGTGACTGTAGACAGCCAGTCTCTTCTGTCCATGGGGTTCTCTGGGCAAGCACCCTGGAGTGGGTGGCCAGTCCCTTCCCCAGGGGGCTTTCCCGACCCAGGGGTCGGACCTGTGTCTCTGGCCCTGCAGGAAGGTTCTTCACTGTGTGAGCCAGCAGGGAGGCCCTCCACTGCTGACTCCGCTCACCCCAGACATCTGCTCACAGGTTAAGCGGGCCCTTGATGAAGTAAACCAGCAATTAAGACGGTGTCATATTTTTTTCCAAGGATTATCCAACTGAGATATGACTGAGGGTGGAAGATAACAAAGAATATTACATTACTCTAAATGAAAAATTGCAGTGCTTCCCAGCTTGATGGAAAATGTGTGTGTGTGTGTGTGTGTGTGTGTGTGTGTGTGTGTAAATAAGGAAGTTGAGGAATAAAATTTTAAAAAGAATTAAGGAATGTATTTCTTCTTTAATAGAATTTTTTAATGTATTCAATATGTTACAATCTTGCTTCAGTTGTTTTTTATGCTTTCAGACTTTTGGCTTCCAGGCATTTGGAAGGCAAAGTCCTAACCACTAGACTGCCGGCAAGTCCCTAGGGAATATATTTCCAAATATATTGGAGGAAGATCATTCAAAAGAGGGTAAAGCACAGCAGTTCAGAAACCCAGTTTTGGAAAGAAATCAGAATGACGCAGGGGACTCCCCTTCAGGCTACCACCTGAGAATCTATGGTGAACAAAGAGTAAATGAGTGAATGTAGGTAAAGCTCTTAGAAAAATCCTTCTCAGAGTGTCAGTGCTATCTGATCATTCCATTAATAAATCTGGAAAGACGACCAAAACTTAATAGTTGTTACTTCCAGAAATTGAATCTAGAAGGCCACAGAAGAGGGAAGGAAGGAAACACAGATTTTCATTTATCTTCCTTTGTAACCTGTAAATTTTTCACAAGTGTGTTTTTCTCATTGCTTCTAACATAAAATGTTTTTTATAAACTAACCCCCAATGACATTGCATGAGGCACCCTCTTTGTTTTGCTCATGATCCCAAGGTGAGGAATTCAGACAGGGTGCAGTGGGGATAGCTCTTTCTGCTCTAGGATGCTGGGATCTCAGGAAAGGAGACTCACCAGTTGGGGCTGACACTAACACAAGAAGCTGGACTCCTGTGGAGGTGACGTCACTGCCACGTCTGCAGCTGAACCTGGGTTTGATGGAGGAGCTTCAGGAAGCCTCCCCATGAGGCCTGGGCTTCACCCCAGCAGGCAGGACTGCAGAGCTCATTCTTAGTGGTGGAGGGCTCCAACAGGAGATTGACCTGAGTGGCTTCTGGCTTTTTCAGGCTTAACTGTGGACATTACCCAGTGCTATTTCCAGGACATCTGTCTGTGATAAGTAAGGCCTTGTCACCCTGTATCAACTCTTGTTAAAGGAAAGGGCCTAGACCCACATCTAAGTGGGGGAAACATAAAAGAAATTAGACAGATGTTACGATTTATACTTGTATTGATCAGTTTAGAAAAACTCAATAGCAGCACACGGAAAGGTGCTCGGCATCACTAATCATCACAGAAATGCAGATTTAAAAAGAAAAAAACAAAACACAGTGAGGTATGCAAATAACGAATTTTGATGAGGATATGGAGAAAAGGGAACCCTCCCCCATTGTTGGTGGAAATGTAATTCGCAACAGACACTACAGGAAACAGTATAAATGTTCCTCAAATACTAAAAATATAGCTACCATATGATCCAGCAGTTCTACTCCCAAGTATATATCTGAAAAACAAACAAAAAAAAATCTCTATTAAAAAAAAAAATACATGGACCCCACTGTTCATAGCAGCATTAGTTACAATTGCCAAGAGAGGGAAGCAACCTAAGTGTCCATCAGCAGACGAATGGATGAAGAAGATGTGATGTGTGTGTGTGTGTGTGTGTGTGCAGAGTGGATTTGGAGGGTATCGTCCTCAGTGAAATAAATCAGAAAAAGACAAATACTGAATAATATCACTTATATGTGGAATCTCAGTAACACAACAAACTAGTGAATGTAACAAAAAAGCAGCAGATTCACAGATATAGAGAACAAACTAGTGGTTGCCAGTGGGGAGAGGAAAGGGGTGAAGAATAATAATGGGCGATTAAGAGACAAAGATACCATGTGTAAAATAAATAAGCTACAAAAAAATAATTGTACTACATGGGGAATATAATCAGTATTAAAGAATAACTCTAAGTGGGCTAAAACCTCTAAAACTTATGAATCACTATGTTGTACACTGACCACAGCCTTGTCTAACTCAATGAAACTATGAGCCATGCTGTGTAGGGCCACCCAAGATGCATGGATCATTGTGGAGAGTTCTGGGGAAACATGGTCCCACTGGAGAAGACAATGGCAAACCACTTCAGTATTCTTGCCTTGAGAACCCCATGAACAGTATGAAAAGGTGAAAAGATACAACACTGAAAGAACTCCCCAGGTTGGTAGGTGCCCAAAATGCTACTGGAGAAGAGTGGAAAAATAAGACCAGAAAGAATGGAGAGATGGAGCAACAGCAAAAACAGTGCCCAGTTGTGGATGTGACTGGTGGTGGATGTAAAATCTGATGCTGTAAAGAACAATATTGCTTAGGAACCTGGAATGTTAGGTCCATGAATGAAGGTAAGTTGGAAGTGGTCAAACAGGAGATGGCAAGGGAGAAGGTTGACATTCTAGGAATCTAGACTGTATCTAGGAATCTAGGAGTCTAGATCTGACTGTAGCTCAGATCATGAACTCCTTATTGCCGAATTTTCCCTACTTTTAGTAGGGAAATTGAAGAAAGTAGGCAAAACCACTAGACCATTCATGTATGACCAAAGTCAAATGGCTTACGATTATACAGTGGAAGTGGCAAATAGATTTAAGGGATTAAATCTGATTGACAGAGTGCCTGAAGAACTATGGACTGAGGTTTGTGACATTGTATGGAGGTAGTGATCAAGACCATTCCCAAGAAAAAGAAATGCAAAATGGCAAGATGGTTATCTGAGGAGTCCTTATAAATAGCTGAGAAAAAAAAGGGAATCTAAAGGCAAATGAGAAAAGGGAAGATATACACATTTGAATGCAGAGTTCCAAGGAATAACATGGAGAGATAAGAAAACCTTCCTCAGTGAACAATGCAAAGAAATAGAGAAAAGCAGTAGAATAGAAAAGACTAGAGATCTCTTCAAGAAAACTTATGATACCAAGGGAATATTTCATGCAAACATGGGCAAAATAAAGGACAGAAATGGTGTGGATGTTAGAGAAGCAGAAGATATTAAGAATAGGTGGCAAGAATACAGAGGAGAACTATATAAAAAGGACCTTGATGGCCCAGAAAACCACAGTGGTGTGATCACTCACCTAGAGCCAGACATCCTGGAATGCAAAGTCAAGTGGTGCTTAGGAAATACCACTATGAACAAAGCTAGTGGAGACAATGGAATTCCAGTTGAGCTATTTCAAATCCTGAACAATGATGCTGTGAAAGTGCCTCACTCAATATGTCAGCAAATTTGGAAAACTCAGCAGTGGCCACAGGACTGGGAAAGGTCAGTTGTCATGCCAATCCTAAGGAAAGGCAATGCCAAAGAATGTTCAAACTAACTCACAATTGCACTTATCTCACACTCTAGCAAAGTAATGCGCAAAATTCTTTAAGGCAGGCTTCAACAGTATGTGAACCATGAAATTCCACATGTTCAAGCTGGATTTAGAAAAGGCACAGGATCCAGAGATCAAATTGACAACATCCACTGGCTCATCAAAAAAGCAAGAGAGTTCCAGAAAAATATCTACTTCTGCTTTATTGACTATGCTAAGGCATTTGATTCTGTGGATCACAACAAACTGTGGAAAATTATTCAATAGATGGGAATACCAGACCACCTTACCTGCCTCCTGAGAAATCTGTTTGGAGGTCGAGAAGCAACAGCTAGAATTGAACATGGAACAATAGACTGGTTCCAAATTGGTAAAGGACTATGTCAAGGCTATATATTGTCACCCTACTTATTTAACTTACAAGCAGAATACATCATGCAAAATGTTTGGCTGGATGAAGCACAAGCTAGAATCAAGATTTCCAGGGAGAAGTATTAATAACCTCAGATACACAGATCACAGCACCCTTATGGAAGAAAGAGAAGAAAAACTACAGAGACTCTTTATGTCTGGCACTGAAATGCAGGAAACTTGACCTGACTGAATAAAATACATTTATACTTTTTTTTCCCTCTCCTCAGACTTTTGTTTCTACATTCTAATGTGCAGTGGTGTCTCACTGTAGATTTAATTTGTATTTCCTAACAATGAACTCTACTGAATTCATTTCTGTATGCTTACATATCTTCTTTGGAGAAATGTTTACTCAAATATTTTGCCATTTCTACATGTGTCTTATTTGTAATTTCTAAGATTTCACTATATACTCTGGATATCAGTCTGCTATCGGACACATGACTTGCAAATACCTTCTTCCTGTCGGTAGGCTTGTCTTTTTTTCTTTTTTAATATACCCTAGACACAACTGTAAGAGCTTACATTATTTTTAAGAGGATAAAATATAGGATAAAGTCTTTATGAGTTTGAACTATGAATAGAGTTCATAGAAATGATATCAAAAATGAGTAATGAAACAAAAGTTGGTAAACTGGACATTAAAATTAGTTTTTCATTTCAACAAACATTGTGATAGAGATATTTTAAAACTGGATTGTGTTGCTGATTAATCAACTCAATGATATATAAAATTATTGAAGTGTATATTTATAGTGGGTGAATATATGATACATAAATTATACATAAATACAACTGATAATAAGCAGCCACAATCAGATGAGTGTGTCTGTGTATGTTCTAAGCCACTCAGTCAATTCCAACTCTTTGCAAGTTGGACTACAGCCCAACAGATTCCTCTCTCCATGGGATTCTCTGGTCAAGAATACTAGAATGGGTTGCCATTTCCTACTCCACGTGATCTTCCTGACCCAGGGATTGAACCCATGTTCCTGCATTGGTAGGAGAATTTTTTACCATTGTACCACTGGGGAAACCCTCATCAGATCAGTAGTTGCCCAGAAAAATAAAGTGAAGGATCTCAACAAAACTAATGGCTAGTGAACAAACTAATGATATAGACAAATCTCACACAAGACAGTCAGTAAAACCTGGTATAAAAACACTAGGAAAAAAGAGGGCTCCAGTGAGGAATGGGTTTGCTTTTATTGTATGAGAGTAATGGAAGTACTTTTTCAAGTGAACTTGGAAATATCAATGAAACTGTTGAGTTGTCCTAAAACAGAAATTAGTAAATTGATGCAGATAGAGCCCAGTTTTAACACGGGTTTAAAGGAGGTTTGACGGTTTAAAGGAGACCACAGGTTGGCTGCCACTTGGACCAGGAGCTGCTCGCACTGGTGAGGGAGGAGCCTGATGGTCTCGAAGTGCAGCTAGGAAGGCAGAGAGAGGCAGTATGAATGTGAAGGCAGCTGGAGAAGAAAAGAGGGATGAGGGTGCAGACTGGTCAGGCAGGTGTGGAGGTAAAATGATGAAAGGCAAGCCCCTGTGCCAGGAGGGGGTCAGAGGTCAAGGCCTTCCTCACTGCAGAGTGCACAGTTAGGTCCCCACCCCCGCGGTGACAAATGCCATGCTGAGTGGGTAAGGCAGTGGCAGCCTCTCTGAGGCGCCATTGGCCCCACGTGTCAACACTGAATCTTCCCACTCCTGTGGGCCCCGTGACTTCACTTCTAGGGGTGTTTCCTGTAGTTACCTTGGCCCAGGAGGTCAAAAACCTAGTTTCTTTGCACTGTTTTCTGAAAGGGAAATGTTGGAAAAGATCCTAAATGTCTCTTAATAAGGATCTCCAAGTGGAAATCCATGAAAGTTTCCTGTAGTTACCTTGGCCCAGGAGGTCTAAAACCTAGTTTCTTTGCACCGTTTTCTGAAAGGGAAATGTCAGGAAAGATGTTAAATATCTCTCAGTAAGGATCTCCAAGTGGAAATCCATGAATATATCAGGATTCCCTGGAGGGAAGGATGGGGAAGTTGTCCAACATGTCTTTCTAAGTGAACAGACTAAGTTTGGGAGAAACTTTTTCGAGTTCTTTGAAACTGCATATGAAATGAGTACCCTGAGCACAGAACGTGGATGCAGTGAGGGCAGAGCACATGCTGCTGAGACTGCGGGGTTTTAAAGAAAGAAAGTTTTTGGTAGTTTAGAACAAAAAATTCAAGTGACATACACTATACAAAAAATTAGAATTTCATCAATCTTTTTGTAATAATTTGTGCAAGAAAAAAGATGGAGTATTACATTTATAAAAAGAGCAGTGAGCAAAGAGCTTTTATCCTCAGGAAAAGAAAAATGCACTGATCCACATCCAAAGACATGAAAAGTCTTCAGAAAATAAAATACCTAGGAAGACACTGGCCTAAGGACATGTAGTAAGGTCCAATTTGCAGTCATATTTCAGTTAAGACATAGGGTTGAAAACAAACATGCACTCCAGTGTTCACTGAGGCACTATTTACAACAGCCAGGACATCGAGCACCGACACATCTTATATGGAATATTTAGAAATAAGGAAAGTAGTGGCAGTTAAATGTATTAATTAAATATGTGGCATTAAATGTTAACCTTAATTAATTAAATATATACCAATTAAAATGTAATGGATGAAGTCTACCTCCCTATTACTGA